CTCCCTGGCAGAGCAGGCTGAGTGTCCAGTGGGGAGGTCCAACGGCCCCAGGCCTCAGCCTCCCTGAGGGAGACTTGGACCACGCTCTGGGCCCTGGCAGGCATGGCAGGAGACAGGAGAGGGCGCAACCCACTTCCTGTGCAAACTGCTTGTGCATCTATGCAGGAAAGGAGGAGCCAGGAGGAAAAGGGAGCCAAGCTCTGGGGTTCTCAGCCTGACGAGCCTTATCAGACCAGGCTGTCATGACAATAGATGTGACTGTAGCTCTTCTTCCCTCTTTAAGGAACTGCCCGATTGCCAGCTCCTCTTTCCGGTTTGATTCCCTAGCAGCTAGAAGCCTCAGATTTAGTGGAAGCTGAAGGGAATGAAGGACAAGGAGGAAAGCAGAGCCGCATGGGGAAGATACCACTGTTTAGGTGGCCGTTCCCCGAGGGCCCTCTGGGCCCCAGTTACACTAGTCTGCCCACATGCCTGGGAAAGAGAATGTACAATCACCCTGGCAACGCTGGGTGTGCCCCCAGAAGAAAGCAACAGGGACAGCTTGCTCCAGGTAGGGCACTGATCACATTGTAATACCACGTTTTATCAACAGTGTATTATACAATGTGTATAATACAGTGTATAATACAGTGTGTGTATAATACAGTGTAGAATACAAAAGTGTGCCTTTCCTATCCCAGGAGATAGATAGACAGAGATACTCTTACTGCTTTTAACCTTTGTCTCTTTTCTATGAAGGCCCCAACTCCTCCTGAGTGGACAGGAAATATTACATGAGTAAGTCCCTTAATAAATGCCTAACGTGCCTCAGAGACATACTATCTTCCTTACCACATCTGAACTCACTTGGTGAGAATCTACAGTTACTACCAGGAGAAATGAGAAAACATGCCTGACCCATAAAGAAAACATAGACGGAAGGGGAGAAAGTAATCTGCAGGGCGGCTCAAATGCAATTGCTCCATTCTAGAAGAACCATGACAGTAAGTCTCCTCACCAAGCACTATGACCAAGCTCAGGGATACTCCAAAATTCACAGGTTGAAATCCTAACCCCAGGGTGATGGGTTAGATGATTAGAAGGTGATGAGGTGGAGCCCTCAGGTTTGGGATTTGTTCCCTTATGAAAGACACCCCAGAGTCAGCTTACCACTCCACCATGTGAGGACACAGTGAGAAGGCACCATGTAGAAGCCAGGAGATGCACCCTCACCACACCCTGGGTCTGCTGGCACCTGGATCTGGGACTTCTCAGCCTCCAGAACTGTGAGAAGTGAGTCTCTGTCAGCTTGAAGCCAACTATTTTGTGATATTTGCCTCCACATCCAAAGTGAATTACGAGACTCTGCATCCAATAGCCTTGTTTTGGCTTCTCCCTCAAGGAATGACAATGCCTGAAAGAAGTTCAGGTGGCCCAAGCATCTTGCAACTTAAAAGTGCCACTGCTGGTGCTTTGATCTTAGACTTGCAGAGCCCACAGAACTGAGAAATAAATGTTTGTTGTTTCACCCTCCTGGTCTATAGCATTTTTGCTCTAACAGCCTGAACAGTAGAACAGCATGGGATTCAACTCAAACGTGTGCCTACTGTCTGCACGCAGAAGCACTACTTACAGCTCTTTTTCCTTTTATTGGTAAGTCCTTCCTCATGCCTTGTTTTCATGATGCAATTTTAGTGGAATTAAACTTGAACAGCACCAAATTATATAATTAATTACATTCAGCTTCAATTACAATCACTAATTGATCCAAGCCTGCTAGCACAACACTTTCATTACTTGGCACACAATTATTGAGTGCCTACTTTGTGCTGGGAATAGAGCAGGAAATGGTCAATTTCCCCTGCCGGGGGGAGGGGGGTGTCAAGGAAAATCTCCCAGGGACAGCTGGTTATAATCAAGAACTCGGTGGGAAGAGAGGCAGGTGGCTAAGTCTTGCTGGCCTTCCAAGTCACCTGTGCATGTTTGTATGCTAAAAATCTCAAGTGGGTCACACTCTGGGATAAGGCTGGCTTTGGCACCAGATGTCATATTTTGTACTCTAGGTCTCTCTTTCACTGACTCTTGATACTAATTACTTAAAAAAAATTAATAGATTTAAGGTAGGTGTGGTGACACATGCCTATAGTCCCAGCTACTCAGGAGGCTGAGGCAAGAGAATTGCTTGAGGTCAGGAGTCTGAGCTAAGCCTGGACAACACAGTAGTCTCAGCTGCTCAGGAGGCTGAGGCAGAAAGAAGGCTTGAAATCAGGAGTTTGAGCTTAGCTGGGGCAACATAGTAAGACCCTTGTCTCCAAAACAAAACAAAAAATTAATAGGTACAATGAACATCTGCCACTCAGGTACTCCTGATCTCACTGGTCTTCCCACTTCTAACCGGTCTTGAGTTCCTCCCCACCATAACCTAAGGCAGCGATGGTAAAGCTATGGCATGAGTGCTATGATGGGCACATAGAGTCTCCTCTGTTGGCATGGGAGCCAAGTCGGCCCAGCAGAGCATAATAGTTTTTTGTTTTTCCTAAACTAAACCCTCAGTATTCAGGTTTAATTGCAGTTTGGGCACTCGCTCTCTCAAAGGCTCACCATCACTGACCTAAGATCCTGCTACTCAAACCTGAGTATTCGCGACATCACTGGGGCCTCTTGGAACGTGGAAAGTTGACTCAGCTGGTCTGGGTGGGGTTTGAGGTTTACCCTTGTCAACAACCTCACAGCTGACCAGATCCCATGTCTGGTAAGGACCTGATTCCAGGCTCGTAGGTAGCCACCTTCTCTGAATATCCTCCCATGGCTAAGAGAATGCATCTCTCTCACGCCTCTTCTTATAGGGGCACTAATCCCACTCATGGGGCTCCACCATCAAGATCTAATTATCACAACTTACCATGAACTCCACCTCCAAATGCCATGGCATTACAGATTTGAATTTCAACATAGGAATTAGGGCAGGGAACAACACACACATTCAGTCCATAACACTTCATAATTAAAAAACAAATAATATGATTACATAACTAAGAAGATCTGGTCCCGAATTCCATTTGGACAGAGTCCAAAATCAAGGACTTCACTGCAGTATCTGGGTTGAGTGGTCACTCTCAGCACTATGCAACCTGAGTACTGCTACACGTTTTCATTTTCCATGCCATCTAAATCTCCTCTCAACTCTCACCCAGATGGTGTTAGAGCTAAAAACTCTACCTGGGGATTTTTAAAGCAATGGCTTTTAGCCCAGATAGACCCAGCATAGCCTTTTTCATGACAAACAGTTGCTAATACCCCCTTACCACCCTGAACTGAAATTCATAAAAACTATAAACTACCTACACACATCATTTTTCTAAGTCCAGTTCATACAGGTGGGTTGCACCAGTCTTTCAAATGCAGGTTCCATTTTGCCACTGGTGATTAGTTTCCCAAAATGGTGACCGGTGACTCCTAAAGAAACAAATCATTCCTCTACTTTCATGCTAATTTCATTCCTGGAAAATTAATCAGTTATTAAAACCATGCAAAAAATGCTTTGCCTGTATATGTTAGAGAGCTAGGTTGTTGATTCAGTTCATTATAAATGGGATTTTCACTAAGTGCATATAATATGGGGCCCTTAGAAATCACCCAGGTCACAGGAAAATTCTTTTAGTGAAGTTGTGTTGCCCACAGAATGATCTCTGGCATCCCTGATGCACTGACCCCACCCACTCCATGCCAGCTGCAATTCCCCAATCACTATGATAACCACAAATGTCCCCACACACTTGCAGAGAGCCCCTGGGGGCAGCACACCTGCACTGGAAACTACTGATATAGTGCAAGCTCTGGTTTACAGGTGAATGGAAACAAGGCGGATGAGGGAGGACTTGCCCTCAGTGACCAGCTGGTCAGCACCCATAGCTCCCTAGACTGGGAGGGAGTCCTCCCAGTCCCATACTTGCAGCTTACTAAGCTGGTCACTATGGGAAGACAAGGGGCTCTTGCTCAGAATTCCTTTGAGGCCCGGTGCAAAATGCTCAGGATGACTCCCCACCCCCAGAAGGTGAAACTCCCTGCAGAAGAAAACAGAGCTAGACAGTGTTAGTGGGAAAGTTCTCTAAGCTTGGAAATGTCAGCACAATACCTTTAATTTCCTCAAATGCAACCAAGAAGTCTCCTCCCCATCACAGAAAGCTAGGAATGTTCTGGCTGATGAAGAAGGTAACTAGTCCACCCTCCTTTCATTTGGGAGCACCCCATTGTTACCCTAGGTAAAGATTTGCTCCTGGTTAGAAAGAGAGCAACTGAGCATTACATGCCAACACGGCCTGATCAGTGGCAGTTGGCTCATATGCTGTGTTAAGGGTTCTGGAGCCACATCCCAGCTCTAGATGAAAAGATGCAGTATCAATCTGTTGAGTCTGTACTGGCCTTGCTAGAGGATAGCAGGTATTTGCCATATTTACTTTAGAACTCCAGACAAATCTGATCTACCTTCCAGAGTCAAAAGCTCATCCATTCTACCAATGCCAGTCTATTTCATTTCATTAGTTTCCTTGTATAAAATATGAAGCAAATGTCTCCTTTTGGAGCTCTGACACCTGTTATTCTTGGGATAAATTGCTTTGCTGCAAATGATAGTACTAGTCTTGTCTCTGAATCTCACTCAGCATACAAGCTGAGCATACACCATATTATAGTCTGTAGCACAGGAGAGATTTAGGCAACCTGCAAGGTTTCATATAAGAATCAACATTTTTCAGGGTCCTTAGTTTGTAAAGCAATATACATCACACAAAACTCAAGGGTAATATCCATCTCTCCATCTGAAATTAGTGTACCCTTAGTTAAGGAGTCAAGATCCCACAAAAATTGATTGCAATTAATGTCTTGAATATTTAGTGCTAAGACAGCAATATTTTGAGGAAAATGTCTTTAGACACAGCAGCTAAATACTGGTTATCTTTAAAGTTAATAAAATTAGGTAAACTAGAAAAAGATATCCATAATAATACAAAAAACCATTCACAAACATTCACTGTGTGTGTAATAAATACTCATTAGAAATACAACATTGAGTCAAATGATCTTTGATGAATTGGTTTTTAAAAATCTTTAAAATGCAAAAGAAAAATAAGCAAGAGAAACTAGAAAGGTCAAATGGATCTGAAAACATTCAAGAATATTTAATTTTAGGTAAACAGATTCTATGGGAGAACTGATCCTTAGGCAAACAGATTTATGACAATGTGCCTCTAGACAAGTTGGCTTTGGGTTGTCTGAACAAAAACAGCTGGGTGGGTATTGTACAGGGGACACAAGGAGGCACAGGACAGGAGCCAGAAGACTATGGGGGAGACCAGATGTGAACCAGGTGGTACAGAGGTGGAAGAAAGCTGATGGACACAGAGATACCAAGAAGTGGACCTATGGGGTTGGGAGTCATGCAAAGCCCATGGGGGATAAAGGGTTTTGGGCCAGGGGGCAGCTGAGGGTATCATCTACAAAGAATTTGAGTCTAGACCTTAGTCAAAATGAGATTCTGGGACATCTTGCCCTACACAGGAATACAGAAATGGTCTCATCACATCTTCCTTTCTGGTGTGGCTGCAAGTGGCTCCACCACCCCATGAAAATGCCTTTCTCTTTCTCCAGACCACAGATTCCTGGTTCAGCAACAGCCCCCCTTTTTCCCAAAGCCAGCTCCTGCTGTTGGAGACACCACAGTCCTTAGAGTCAGCATGACATCTGACCTCACTGCTCCACTCCCACCCCCAGGATGGACACTGAAGGCACACATACTACATGCAGGGACTGACGCACATGTAAATGTCCACCCAACCAATGCGAGGCTGACCTTTGCCTCCACTGTAGTGATGTAGAAAAGCATGAGAGAGACAAAGTGGGAATGTTCCTTACCCTCTGAGGACTGCATGGGCTGGCAGACAAGTGTGGATGATGTGAGAGACAATCAGGAGAACTGGGGAAAGAGGCAGAGCAGCAAGGGCCTAGTGGCTTTGGAAGGTTCCATACAGGAGGCAGCACCTGAGCATGGTCACTGAGATGGAGGAGGGAAGGCTTGGACACATGAAAAAGCGTAGGGCCAGGGACTTGGGGTGAGCCTGCTGTCTGCACCATCAAGATCAGCCTGTGTAGCAAACTTCAAATAGCACCACCCAGACAGGGAGGGAGGTGCAACCCTCTTCACAAGCTCTCACTTTACTCACCATCAGACACGTGGAATTCATGAAGAAGAGAGCAGAGAGAGTGTCACACAGTCCTTTTCCCAGTCTCATCCCCACTTCAGTGTAGGTCCTATGATCTGGCCAGCTGAACTTGCAAGTCCATGGGGTGCACCCATGTGAGACTGTCCTTATCCTAAGTGCTCCCAAGGATGGCTCTATCCAACTAATACTGTGATTAAAGAAGCCATTCCTGCCAGCTTTCTGGGAGTGACCTGTGTGGACAGTAATAAGCAGAATCAATAGAGAAATTAAGCCTGTTTCAGCCAAACAGCGCGTTCTAACAACTCCATGAACCCACTAGAAAACAGGCACGACCACTGTACAAAGTGTATTCACACAACTGGCATCCAGCCAGAATGACATTTTTCACCAGAAAATGACATATATAGCAACAAACTAGTAGCTCATGCTCTCATAGCTTCAACAACAGTCGTAACAAAAAGAATTTATTCCAATTTAATTGTTTGCTCTTGTTCAGCTCTCTGGAGAGCCGTCCCTCTATTTCCTATCCCTATAATACAAATTTTCTAGACTTCAGTAGGTCTCTACATCTTTCAACATGGATCTAGCCCCTCAAAGATAACAGCTATGCTGATCAGGATTTTTTTTTCCACTAAGTATCAGGTAATTAATTTAAGGTAATTTACGCAAAAAAACTCAGGTGACAGATTTCAGATTTATTGGTTCATTTACTTGAAAAATCAAGGATGGACAGGGCTTGCTAGAATGGCTAGATCCAGGGGTTCCAAGAACACAGCAAGACAACCACCAGAGTTAGCAAGCAATGGAAATGTAGTCATTCTCCATACCCGCACACAAAAGGTTCACGTGGGAGCACAAGTCCATACTGGAACCAATCTCTGTGGCCAGAGGGGCAGCCATCTGCCTCCCCCATGGCTTGTGGGAGATGCAGGAGTCAGTGCACTTGCAGAAATGAGTGTCCCAGAGAAAAAGGAATCCTAGTTAAAGCTGCAAGGGACACTGGGTAGATAAACTGCACACTCAGTGCTGTGTACCTGTTTTAGTATCACTTCCCCTGTAGCTTTCACCAGCACTATCTGTTGACATTTACAACAGACCTCTGAGTAGGGCAACCTTTGGACAACCACCGTTGCTCCACAGCAGGAAGCTAAGCCCAGGGACCAAAACAATCTGCCCACACCACCAGATCTAGGATGTCATGACAGGCCTGACCTCCAGCCACCTGGCTCAGTACAGGTGGCACTGGCCCCTGCCAGAGAATCAGACCCAGGCCAAAGGTAAGGTGAGGGTCAGAGCCATCAGACTGCTACACATGTAAACTACTAAGACGCAAAGCTTACTTCTAACCAGCTCATCAGAAACCCTCTTCTGGTTTGTCTCCTGAATCCCTCACAGCTTGTTACTTCTTTCTAAATACTTGGGAGGGAGAGAAAAAGTGAAAAACGCAGAACTTCCTCTATAATCCTACTTACCATGGGGCAAAACTGCAGTTCTGCCTATAGTCATTCCCCTTACAAGGATTTGCCTAGAGAGGGTGTCAGTACCCAGAGGGGCCCAGATGGCTTGGTGACCAACGCCACAATCTGGGTGAGCTCTGGCCCATCCAGGCTTCCCTCCTTGTAGGAAAATGATTGCTCACAGGTTCCTGCCCAGCTCCCCGACCAGCTGCCCCACAACAGGAGCCTACCAGCTGTAGACAGAGGTGGGCCGGAAGGAAGTGAGTCCAGCAGGACTAGGTGGAGTGTTGGCCATCCAACCCCAAGTCAAAGCCACCTGTAGTGCATCCAGGGATGGAAAGCCAAGCTGTGGCTGCAGACCACCTTCGTTCATCATCTGGGTCACCTCCATCAAGCAGCTTGCGCTTTCTGTGTCTCAGTGTACTCACCTGATCAAAGCAATGACAGTGGCCCTGGACCTCATGGAGCTATTGTGGGAACTAAGTGAAAATGAATCCATGCAAAGAAGTGGGCAAATGGTCAGTCCTTGATATTAGTTGTTATTATTATGATTATTATTGCTGTTGCTGTTTTGTCATTTATTGCTAGCTAATCCTTCCACCTGGACCCAAGGCTACCTTAGCAAGAACTAAGAAAGTTGGGAATCATGTCTGCCACATGAGCTAATAACAAACATTTACTGAGTGCTCGCTGTGTGGTTCATCTTCTCCAAATACACTGCATCTATTACCTAGCCAGTTTCTCTCAGTAACCCTAGGCAGAGGTCTCTACCCTGACCAGGGAGCTTGAAAGAACACAATCAGTAAGTCAGGTCCATGTCGTGCTCCCAGGACAGGGGATAACAAGAAGGGTGCTGGGCCTTTGTTTCCATCCAAACCATAAACACAGTTTAATGGCAAAGAAACATGAGACAGAGCCAGATGGAGAGATGATCTGCACCATCCTTGAGCAGTACTCTCCCAGAGTGTCTCTACTTTTCAAACTGGAGAACTGAGGCCCAAAGAGGTTGAGTTACTTGCCTTATTTAGGTAGCACAGGATAATACAGTACAAAAGACTCTGAACTCAGGCCAACTCAAGAGCCTATGCCCTTAATTACTACTCTCTACCCCCCACTGGTAGATACTGGTGTGCACATGCTTACCTCTGGCACAGGAAGGTCTCCTGCCAGATACATAGCCCTGGGAGCTGAGCTCCAGGCTGCCTGCTAAGCCCTGGCAGCTCCAAGAGGGTGAAATGACAGCCATCATCCCAGTTTGTAGGACATGGAAGGGCTTTGTGCCCCACCTGGCATTAGCCATGGAGAGAAGAAAGTCTGTGCTACTGGCAATCCATCCTTCCTGCCTCCCCTCTCCATTGTGACCCACCTAGTGAAATGCGCACCAACCACTTCCATCTCTCGGGACCAGGAGATATGCTTGAAAGGACTGGCTACCAGCTCAGGGGAGACTTTTGCCTTGCTGGGCACCAAAAGGCAAGTGCCAGGTGAGACTCATACAGCAGTGCCAGGCCCACCACAGGTGACTAACCAGTGAACCCTCTATCAACCCCCACTGGATGTGACTTTGACATTTAGAACTGTAAATACACCTAGAAAACAAAACCCCTCATGCCTACTTCTGGGGAGGACCTCAATGCTCACACTTCTGATGTTGCATTCATAGGAATAACATGTGTTATGCTTACCGAATTAACTTGTGGTTAATGAACCATTAATGCCACACCACTGTTTTTATTGTCTTGCTTTGGCACAGATGCATTGTGAGGGTTTCTTGGGAGCTTTTTAATGTAGAAGTAGCCAGGCCTCTCTCAGCCTCAGCGAGGCTGATGCCCATGCATGAAGGAATTTCTGAGCTGAGTTCCTTCCTTCTCTGGAAGACAGCTGAAACATGTGTGGTTGTGAGGCAGAGGTCTACCCTGACTAGGGAGCTTGCAAGAACATGGTCAGTAAGTCAGGTCCATGCCCTGCTCCCAGGACGGGGGATAACAAGAAGGGTGCTGGGCCTTTGTTTTCATCCTAACCATAAACAGTTTAATGGCAAAGAAACATCAGACAGAGCCAGATGGAGAGATGGTCTGTGCCGTCCTTGAGCAGTACTCTCCCAGAGTGTCAAACTTATGAAAGACATGGGGTATGAGACTGCGACAGGCAAAGGAGTCTAAGGAGATGTGACAACTGAATACAAGATGGCACCCTGGACGGGACCTTGGGACACAGAAAGGACATCAGTGGGGAAACTAATCTAAACAAGTGTAGCTTAGTTAAGTTACTTGCACCATATGAATGCAAGTTTCTTCCCATTAATTAAGGGCCCTGGTTATGTGAGAAGTTAAAATTAGGGAAAGGTAGGTGGCAGGTTTGTGGGAACCCTCTGTACTATCTTTGCAACTCTGCTGTAAGTCTAAAATTATTTCAGAATAAAATATTTAAAACAAAAACAATTTTTGAAAAATGCTTGGCCTCCATTCAAATCAGTGAAATCACAACTCCAGGCATCTGAAGTTCTCCAGGTGGTTTCAATGTGCACACAGGGTTGAGAACCATGAGTGTAGGATTCAGAGTATAAGTGTGGGCATCAAAGTCCCGTGGAAGAATTATGAAAACAGAGTCCCCCACCCTGTCTCCAGTTCAGTGAGTGGGACCGAAGCCTGAGAATTGGCATCTCTAACCAGCTCCCAGATAATGCCTGGCTGCTGGCCCCAGGACCATTGTCCTAGGTCCTCACAATTCAGCAGCATCAGTGGCAACTGAAATCTGGTTAGAAATGCAAACCTCAGGTTCCCCCTCCCCCGGCTTTAATGAGACCACATGTGATTGGTTCACACAGGAAAGTCTACAAAGCCCTGCTGCAGCTGGAAAGTGCAAAGAGAGGGGATGAGGACAGAGACGCTGAAATGGCAGGCCCGGGAGCCTGAATTCCCACCATCTGACCAGCCTTAACACTCTGTCCTTCCCTCAGACACATAAAAGAAAAAACAGAAAGAAACATCAGAGGAACTGTGCAACAGTGCAGCCAAAGGCAGAGCAGGGAGAAAGAGCTCTCATGCCCCAGCAGCACTGGCCAGGGGCACAGTGACCTGGGAGGAGGGGAGCTGGCTGACAGCAGAGCTTCACAAGAGCAGGTAGACCAAGCCGGGAGGCGCTGACTACCAGGAAACGGGCATTGCAACTGCAGCCCAGGGTGTCACATTCACTCTTCCAAGTGACAATCTTACCCTTCCTTTGGAAGCCAGCCACACCAGACTTTGCTTCACAGGAAGGAAGGAGTAGGGGAACAGAGAGAAGGAAGGAAGCAGGGAGGAAAGGAAAAAGTAGAAGTAAGAGTGGGAGCCTTTGGACCAAACAGGTCTTCACCAAACTTGGCTTCTACCGAGACTTTTTCAGAATTAAGGCTTGGGGCACGGGGCTTTCCTGCAGCTCCCCTTTGACCAGGAGCACAGTGGACCAGGAGCAATGGCATCAGGTCAGCAGGTGTGCAAGGCCTCTGTTAAACATGAGCCCTCTCCCCCGGTTCAATGAGCATCACGGCTCCACCTGTTTTGCTCTGGGTTTGTTCCTCCTGTCAGTGAAGATCTTGTGGGTCACCAGCTCCCGGCTTAGACCCTGGCTCTGGCCCCAGCTCCTGCTTGTGCTACCCCTTTCCCAACCACTCAGCCCAAATGTCACTCTCCTCACATCTGCCTACATGGCATCATTCCAAACCTATCAGTTCTGCTCCCTAGCATCTGCACGGGGTCTCTGAGAGCCACTTTTACTGTTATCTATACTTTGCAAGTCCTGAAGCAGTGTCAGGAGGGCCCCCAGGCAGCCTGCAGAGCTGAGATGGGCCATTTCTGATCCTGCAGTGCCCAAGAAACACTCCCCAAATTAACCTGTCCAGCAAAGCACCACCTCTTGCAGGACTAATGTGTGAGTGGCTTATCAAATGCACAGATTTTTATCATCTCTGAAAATCTTTAAGTATGCTGGGACTGACATCTAGGTGCTGGTCATCTAGGTTCCAAGCACATACATGAGAGGCACACAACTCAAGCACACAAGACAGCCCTAGGAGCAAGTGTAACCCTTATCTTGGCACTGTGGAATCAAAAGTAAAGCAGAAAACACCACTCAGTCACTCAGTGAGCACAGGCAAATCACAAACCTCTCTGACCCTAGGTTCCCACCTCTGTAAGATGAAGCTAATACCCCTCCCTCAGAGAGCTGATGAGACAATTTCACAATATAACATAGCCTTGCTGGCCTCTCATGGGAAAAGTACTCAATAAAAATCAGCCTGCTCCATTCCTACTTTCAAGCTGTCTTGTACCTCCACCTCTCCTTGCCTCTCTGCCCTACCTGGATAAATGTTCTGGGTGCTGGGCTCACTGGCAACATGCTGATGTTTTAGATCCCAGTGCAAAGGAAGCCAACCATTACACCAAAAGTGAGAAGCAAGCAACCATTACCTTGAACAGAAAAGACATTTATATTTACTTCAGTGGCTATAAAAGACACCATAAAATATAATATGCACCATGCAGCCTCATGATTAATAACAGATCTTGCAAATTATTCTTGCAGGTCCCTGGGTACATCTAACTAGTCACTAAAAACAATTAATTCTTTCAGGAAATAAAAGAATGGCAAATCATTTCTGATCACTAGAAAATGTACTTGTTACTTTATGAATAAAAAGAACAGAAAACAAGACTCAGATTCAGGGTTTTCTACCCCTATGAATGGGGTGAGGCAAGATCAGAAAGATTCAAATACAGTTACCATCTGGGACCATGGGTGTTCAGGGAGCTAGGACCAGGCAGATCTGAGGTCTCAGGGACTTGGAGATCATACAGACATAAGAATTAGAGCAGGAGTCTGGGGGTGTCCCAGAAGCAGGAGCAGAGGACACACACAGGGGAAGGGGCAGCCTGCAATGCAATAGGTGAAAAACAGAATTCAAACAGGCAACATGAGGTTTTCAAACAGAAACCCAGCCACAGTGACTAAAGTTTCAGTAAAAGGAGTAAGGACTCCAGAAGGACAGAGAAGACCCAGTGGGATCCCAGACTGGAACTGGAGCCATCAACTAAAAACCAGAGGGTAAGTCGGGAAATGGTTAGGAGAACAGGGAGGTACCTAGCCCACAGGAAATGAGGTTGAGACCTAGGAGAAAATAAGTCAGCCTCTAAGCTCCCAGCCCTGGGCTTAATACCTCCAATCAAGTTCTCAGAGGCCTGGAAGGAAAGCTAAGCCTCCTAAGAAGTGGTCCCACAGTGGAAGGAGTCCTACTGCTTGGAAGGATTACAAGGGCAAGAAGCCAAAGAGCAGATGCTCAGATCCACTACTGGCTGGTATAGATGCACTCCCAACCTTGAATATAAATCCCACCACCCAAGCCTCGGCCTTATTCTCCTAGTTCTCCCTGGGAAATCCCATGGAAACAAGAACCAAGAGGAGCTGTCCACCCTTGGCTAGGGCCAGGGCCACACTCAGAATGGGTATGTGGCTGGTGAGGCAGAGGCCAAGTGAGTCAGGATGGACAGACCCTGAAAGCTGAAGAGGACTGTTAAAATACAATACAGCTGGGGAGATAGCTCAGTGGCACAGCGCCAGCCTGACAAGTGCAAGGTCCTGAGTTCGATTCCTGGTACAAAGAAAGAAATACAATAAAAATAATACCAAAGAGATCAGCATGACACCAGTGAACCCACAGCTGCCCAGAGTCGGTCCTCAGATGGTGAACTGCCTCGTTCAGGTGTGACACCTCTAGGGAGGGACATGGAAGGACAGAGATCCTGTCCTCCAGCAGTTTCAGAGACAATGCTGACCTCCAACAAATCAAACTTCCTGCTAGTTAAATGTGCCCTCGGTAGCACACATGGTTAATACTGACAATAGACGTGGTTAATGGAAATGGGGGGACAGCCAAGCCAATGGCACATACAGGAACAGGAGAGGAGGTTGCTGCAACTTCTCCCGAAGGAGAAGAGCCTGTTCCATGGCACAGCCTGTGGGCCCTGAGACAAGGGCTGCAGCATGAGTAGTAGTTCCAAAGGTAGAGCATCCTGGTGCATGGACAATGACTCTGGGACCGCAGACCACCACGGGGCAGAAATGAGGGCACTGGGTGGAGACAGGGAAGTAAGGAAATACGAACAGTGAAAAGACACCAGAAAGGGATACGCAAATCCCCTCAGTGTGGAGCAGGAAAGAGCCAGCAAAGCAGGGCCGAGACCCAGCTCATCAGTCGCAGCCCCTTCACATGCAGAATGAGTTCATAAATGTTGATCTGCCATAAACTGAAGGCCTCGCTGAAAGAGATGTGGGTCCTTCTGAAGAATGAACAGGTATTCTTCTTCTTGTGCCTGGAGGAGGGGCAAGGAAGGAGGAGAGAAAAGAGAAAGAGAGGTAAGAAACACTAGGTCAGTAATAAAAGATGGTGGCTTTGGCTGACTCACCAGTGCCTGGCTCCTGGAAATTACTCTTGGTTAGGTAATCATACCACTGCCCCATCCAGGGCCAGAGGAACTCCGATATTCCAAAGGAGTTACTCAAATAAGTTGGGTAAGCAAAAGCAGTTGTTTCCCAGGACATCTAAGGGTCTGATATATACCCAATGTGTAGAACATTCCAAAGATTCTTTTTCCAAAAGTATAGCAAACACATGCTAATCCAGAATCTTCCAAACTCAAATGCAACCAAACTTTCTGAGCATAAGAATCATTTAGAATCCTGGTCAGGTGGTCCCAGGATGCTAACGCCATGACAGATGAGTCCAGCACAATTCCTTCTGGGCCCAAAGCAAGACACAATGAAAACTGGTGTTTACGGTGATGACCGCTTCAACATGATACCTCTTAAACTCTCAGAGGAATAAATCATGTCAGCCCTTTTAGTATGCAGTATATTTTGCTGTATTCTCATGATATTTTATGTGTACATGGTATATGTGGCCAAATCTCTTAGTCTCCCAGGGTGACCCATTGCCTGCCAGGATGGGTGGGCTGGGACCACACTGCAAGCCAGGCCCCCTCCCTTCAGTGAGAATACTCCAGCACAGCAGGCCCTTCACGTGTATTCACCACACTACTTGAAGGCCTGGAACCCTCAGTCTCTGGCACTATCTCCCTGAGTAAGCATCCTTCTCATCATCAACACTCCAAGGGCACCGCAGCAATTAGAAAGAGCTGGGATTCCCGGAGAGCTCACTGACCACACTTTTCCAAGTCACGGTCAAGAAAAACAGCACTGGCCTAGCTGCCTGGCTAGTCCCAGGGTCAACTAGAGACAGGGTGGCACCAGAGCCTCCTGACACCAAGCCCAGGGGATCCCTGGGTGGGCTGAGACTCAGAAAACATTTCAAACTGATGGTAAGAACTGCCTGGAAGACTGAACAGGGAAGACGAGGTCCTAGGATCCACCATCTAACAACTACAGCACCCAAAGGCACTGCCCCAAGGCATCTGCCAGCTTGCTGGAGCTAACTGCCCCTATCTTTCTCCTCAGGGTGATTTGAGATTGGGACAGACAGGCAGGACCTCGTGGACTGGTGGGAAAAGCAAAGCCAGGCAGCAACCATGGGGAAGGCTGCGGGGCAGGGCGACAGAGGCAGGAGCCCATACTCACTCAGCCAGCGCCCTGACACAGCACCGTGACATGTTGAGGAAGGAGCTGGCACTGGCGCGGGTACCCAGGGTGGCCTCGATGCTACGCAGCAGGTCGTTGGTCTTAAGGATGAGCAGCATCTGGCGCGGTACATGGTTGAGAAGCTGGCTGATCTGGGGCAGGTAGTTGGCCGCATTGCTGCGGATCTCTGAATCCTAAGGCAACAACAGGGAGACAGAAGCAAATGGTTAGTGTAGGAAGTAGGGACCAGAGCGGCAGAGGTCTGGGCAGCCTGTGACCAGGGGGTTACAAGACAGCTCCAGGCTGGAGCTTCTAGCACAGCTGTTCTGACACGACAAGAAGCCTCCCCGAGGGAAGTCTGGCAGCAGGGGCTTTTTAGCCTGAAGACCAGGACAGGAGGACGCAGCTCAGCCCTTAGCCAAGCAAGGGGTGCAGCACAGCAGCACATCCAGCAGAGCCAGGTGACTCTCCAAGGGTTCTGCGCTGGCCACCTACTTCAAGAGCCTCGCAAGCAGAGTCATGTCCCTCATCAATGAGCCCAGACTGAAAAGAGTCCATAGATCTGAATTCCTGACTCCCAACACAGCTCCCAAATCCCACCCCACGCCCTGCTCTCCACCAGATCTACCTGCTGCCCACGTGCCACTGTTAATCACGACCCCTCCTCTGGACCATCCTACCACTACCCGAGGCCCATCCAGTCACTACCATCCATCCAGTATCATCCTACCACTACCTGAGGTCCCAATGCCGCCAGAGTCAGATGCTGGGCTGGCCCTTGATTCTGGGGAGGGCCTGGCTTCCCTTCCTTCCCTGTTCCTGAGCTCTATATGGGTCCAGGCAGATAATCACCCAGCCAGAATTCTGGGCCTGCCAGTGTGGCTCTGACCCTTTTTGGTCTCCAAGACAATGATGACAGTGGTAGAGGTGGTCATGGTGGTGGCCAGCACACACTGGGAAATTATCAAGTAAGCCAGACACTTTAAAAATGTATTAATTTATTTAATCCTCATAATGACTCTATCACATTGGATGTATTATTCCCATTTGTTATGGTATAGATCAAAAATGTCCCCCAAAAGGCCCATTATTCAGAGGTCAGGCTTCTAAAAGGTGATTCACCCACTGATGATTTCATAACAAATGTGCTCTTAGCAGGCAGGGTCTGGTTGGAGAAGAAAGCCATGGGAAGAAAGCCCTTGAAGGGAGTTCCGGGCCCCTTCCTCTTGGGCTTTCTCTTTGTCTTTTGGCTTCCCGCCCGCCATGAGGTAAGCACTTTCCTTTGCCATGCCTTTCTGCCATGATGTTCTTGCCTTGCAGCCAGCCCACCACAGGCCTAAACCTCTGAAACGATGAAACCTCTGAACCAAAATAAACCCTTCCTCCTTTAAATTATGTCTGTCAGATCCTTTGTCCCAGAAATGGAAAGCCAATCATTTGAGAGGAGGAAACCAAGGCACTGAGAAGTCAAGTAACCTGTCTAAGGACCATAGCTCAGAAGGGATGGGCCGGGATTTAAACCCAGGCAGCCCAGCTCCTGGGCCCGTGCCATCCAGTTACACTGCCTCTCCTCCCGGCAGGACTGCATGACCCTGAGCAAGTCCTTTCATTTCTTTTGACCTCCAAGGAGCCCAGACGGTCATAAGAGGCAAAGCACAGCCAACCACTTTGCGCCAGTTGAAGTCTTTCCAAGGGCCCAGCAGTGCTGCCAAAGGCCACCTTCAGCAGCAGGAACAGAATTCACAGTCCTTTGAGAAGCATGAGAATACTACTGATAACCAAGTCGCTATGAAACTTAAAATGTCCCTCAGGCAGGAGCTATCAGACTGGAACATCTCAGCACAAGCCAGACACCAAGAGGCAGCCTGCTACCACCGCTGCAGGTCACCCTGCTTGAAACACGAAGGCCAGCCAAGGCCGGGCTCACTATGGAGCCCCCCTCAGCCAGTCAGAACTGGCCTGCTGACCACCCCTCTCAGTCCAAACAGAAGACACCCATGCCGCCCAGGGTGCCCTCACCAGTGGCTCTCAGGGCAACAAAGCTGCAAACTTCGACATGTTCTGATGGTGGGTATCTGTCGTACACCCTGCTAGGTGTCTACACAACAGCCGCTCCCCTTCTCCTTTGTTAAAAGAACAGTTTTCACTCGACTACTTGGGGTCACGTTCTTCAGGGACTCAGAGCTGCTTGCTACCCCCAAGAGGACATCTTGACTACTCTCAGCCAATGTGGGCTCTGAGTACTCACCCCCTATCACATGATTAGTTGCAGGTAGGGATATGTGGTAAGTTCCTGGCCAGCGAGACATAAGGACAAGTCTGTCGGGAGATTTCTGGGAAAGGGCTTCTTGCAGGTAAGGAATACATGGGAGGAAATAGCTCCTGATTCCTGTCTCTGGTCATCACTGAATAAAGATGTGAAGCTGGGACTGCTCCTACCACCTTAAATTCAAGAGAGGAGAACCAAGAGAATCACAAGAGTGAGCCAGAGCCCCAGGACCCGTCTCTCTAGAGAGAACAAATTCCGTGCTGTTTAGGTCATGCTTAGTAGGGGGAAACATCCTCCCTGATACAGTGTCTGGGTTCCCTTGATTCTCAATGAAAATAGAGCTCAGTTTTCTACCAGCATCAACTGAGCCTCTGTCATCTCTGGACCTAGAAGCACCTGGGCCAGCCTCCTAACTGACTGCCCCACAGCACACCTACCCGACTCCAGGCGGATACTGAAAAATAGCAACTATGAGCATTTTCTTCTCCTGCTTATGGGCTATAAAGGCTTTGCTTTGTGCCAAGTGTTATGATTTAGATCTCATCACCCAAAGGTCTCATATATTCAGAGGTGAGGCTTTCAGGAGATAACTGGATCATGGGGGGTGGGGCTCCACTCATCAGTGGATTAATCCACTGATGGGTTTATAGCTGAATGTGCTATTAGGAGGCAGCCTGGTCTAAAAAGGAGAGTCATCAGGGGTGTGGGAATATTCTTGTCCCCGGATCCTTCTCTCTCTTTTTCCTGGGTGTCATGAGTTGAATAGCTTTCCTCCATCATGCCCTTGTGCCATGCTAGTTCTGCATTCGAGCCAGCTAACCACAGACTGAGCTCTCGGAAACCACGAGCCAAAATAAAGCTTCCCTCCCTACGTTGTGCATGTCAGGTATTTTGTCCCAGGGACAGGAAAGAGACTAGTACACTAAGAATAAATTTTAACTTCTTTTCACGACTTATAAGGCCTCATGTGATCCCTTCCTTGCCCAGAGTGCCGAATTCTTCTCCTCCTCACCACACTCCAGACCATACCAAACTCTCCCTCCCGTAGGCCTTAATGTGCTGGGAATGCTTCTTTCAAGCTCTTCCTGAGGCCGGTGCCTTTCTTGTCCTTTACATCTCAGCTCAAATGTCAGCTTCTCACTGAGGTCTTCTCTGAACACCATTCCACCCCCCATGCACACTGCCCTGTTTGTTTACTCCACTGGTATCCACCATCTGCAATTACCTGTTTGTTTACTTGTTTACTGTCTGTCTCCCTCAGCCAAAGTGGAAATTAAACAAAAGCCTGTCTGCCTGTGAATCATGAGCTTCTCAGCATCAAACTCAGGGTTCAGCAAAAACAAATGTTTGTGGGATAAATGAACTTCAAGAACTGTGGGTAGGCACTTCCCCTGCATTATCAGTAGAACAGAAATCACTGTCCCTGCCATCCCTGTTTTACAAAAGAAGAGACTGTTGCTCCAATTCTGAGATGATGAGCTTCAAGGCTGTGCAGCCTGGAACAGTAAGTGCTTATCTTTGCCACCAAGCTTACTGGAAGATGACATCAACTTGTAGGAAAGTAGGACCAAATGACAGCCTTTGAGACATGTGAGGTTTTGGTTTCAGACATTCTGAAAGCCACCAGCCACCAACCAGCTTGTAAGGAAGGACTTTGAGCCCAAAGGGATGATAAGAATACCCAAGGTCATGCCACCAGGAAGAAGTGCTGGAACTAGAGCCCAAACTTCCTGATGGCACAAGGATAACCCTGTAGTGAGCAGGGGCCTCACTAGAACTCAAGTCTGTCCACCACTGAGATACAGGCCAGGATGGGTGGGCCTGGAAGAAACTGACAGAACAGATGGGACAGAAGTCATTTCCATGAAGAATGGAGAAGTTCCCTGGAAGGAAGCCCATCTGAGCCAGGAGGAATGAGTTGGCCCTATGCACCTCTATCGCCAAGATGGGCTTGACAGAGGGAGTGGCTCCCAGGATTTGTCCCCAGCCAGACTCCACAGTGCTTCTATCTAGCTCCACAGAGAAAGGAGCAACTGATAAAGACAGCATAAGCAGCTTCAGTAAAAATCCTATAGAACAATGTGATGAATGATCTTGCTTGAGCACCAGGGCTTGCCCCAGTATGGAGCCTGGGAGGAGCCATGTAACAGGAGACTGTGCCAGACAGAAGTCAGCAGAAGTGCCACTAGGTTTAGGAGAGGAACAGTCCCTGAGGATTCCCAGAAGCCTTGGGGGAGAACCTGAAGGAAGCCTGACATCTCATATGTGCAGGTTGGCACTAAAGCCACCAAAGTCTAGATTATTATGGCTACCTATGTTTCCACTCCAGGCTGGTAAGGCCTGGAGGAGACACAGTGGGATGTCTTTCTCTTTCCCTCCTCTACCCATGAACACATCTCTTCTCCCTCCCTGCTTCTCACTGAATATGGCCCCAGTTTTGCCCCTCCTCCCATGCACCAGCCAATCAAGAATCTCAGACCCTGGACTGGAAGCACCCACAGGCTGTCCCTGTCCTTTGCATTTGGATGGTAGCAGAGCGGCAGGGACCACTTACCTCAGTGGCAGTGACTGGGGCATGGCTGATGCCCCTGTTGACGGAGTCCCACGACCGGGCCGTTAGCATGCAGGCAAACAAGGGGTAGAGTTCGCCGGCTCCCAGGCACTGGCTGTACCTCTTCACCTTCTCCATGTCTGTCCAGATCAGAGACTGCCACAGGTGGCAGTAATCTAGGCGGAACGCTTCCGTGAGCACCTACGGTCACAACAGCAGTGACGGGACCTGAGCCCCCTCTCCCCACCAAAGGCCTAAGCCCTGGTGCTGACTACTGCAAAGGGGGACAAGGAGGACCATGGCTTCCCATGATGTCTGCTCCCCATCAACGTGTGGCCACCCCTAAAGGCCCAAGGTCAAGTTACCACCAAATGACAACAGCTAGCCCACTTTAACCTGATACATGCTACTTCATCCAGCCTTGCAGAGGAAGCTGAAATTTTGAGATGTGGAAACAGGGGCCTGGGGGAAGGAGCAGAAGACCATTGGGAAACCACCCAGGACCACCTTCCTCATGGAATCAAGCTACCCCTTGGGTCCCAGGTTGGCAGTGAACTTCCCGGCTTCCAGGTGGGAGCTCAGGGCTGCTAAAGCTTGCTCTTCATCCTGAGTGCTCAAGGACCCAGTCACGAGCTATCCAACCCCTATCAGTTCTCTGCCTCCTCTTCCACTCACTGGGACTCCCCTCCTTCTGGAAGTCCCAGCCTGTGCCAAGGGCAGCTCATTTCCCAGGTCAGGGCTGGACTGTGGTTCCCTGGGAAGGCATAACATATGCACAAGCACCTTTCGATTTACTTGTTGCAATGGTCTATAAAAGACATGAGATCAATCTTGCTTTTGTGGAAGGAAGCTGAAGCTCAATGAGCTCTTAGGACAGTGATGTGCATGAAATGTGAGCTTCCTAGCAGAGGGCAGAGCCCTCTCCAGCCCCAGCCACCCTGGTTGTTCACTCCGTCTCCATGGCAGATGGAATATTTCAGTGGACTCCGACCCCAGGCAAGACTAGCCCCTGGGGCCAGATGAAAGGCTTCTCCCACCTGGTAGAGTCCATGATCCAACAGAATAATCTCCGCTTTGCCTGTGACTGGATGCTTCCGCACCAGCACGTTGCCTGGGTGGGGGTCACAGTGCACAAAGCCATTGACAAAGATCATCTCACTGTACATCTTTCCCAGGTGGCGGGAGATCTAAAAGAGAAGGGAGGCAGGTGGGATTTCTGCTGCATTCATACCTATCTTGGGGACTTCTTTTCTGATCTTCTAATTGAGTCCCTTCTAAGAGGAGACCAAAGGGACCTGGTAGATCTGAAAAGTGATGAAGGAGATGGTTTGAGATGATTTCGTTCCTGTCTTTAGGACAGAAGCTAAGCTCTAATTTAGTGCTTCTCCACTTTAGTCACGCATTAGAATCATCTGGAACTTAGAAGTGGTACCAGTCCAGTCATCAGTATTTTTTTTTTTTTAACCAGAATTTTGTTTAAGTTCGTAAGTTGATTTTAATGCATGGTAAGGTAGGAGAATGGCTGCTCCTCCTGTTTCCAATGGCCAGGCCTCTCTACTTCCTACACCTATCCCTCCATTCTTCCCCCTTTCTCTCTTTCCTCCTGTCCTATCCACTCCTCTCCATTCTTTCCCAAAGCTGATGACAGGTTTGGGGAGCTATCCCACCCATTTCTTCTCCAAAGAACAGGGCTAGAACTGAGGATAAGGATTAGGCAACCCCATCAGCACCCCTGGTGGCTCCAGGAGAGTCCTAGGCAGCTTCAGAGTCAAGGTCCTTCTCCTCTCTCCAAGTCCCCTCCCCACTAGAGCCCAATGCTAATCTGATTTATGATGTCTGCACAGAAGAAATGACACTGGAGAGACCATTTAAATCATCCTGTCACTGCTGCTCTCCCTGCCGAGCCAGGCTTCTTATCTCTACTCCCTTTTTTATTAAAGCTAAAAGCCTATTCCTCACTGGGGAACAGCTGCAGAACAGAGCCAGACCTGAGCCCAAAGATGATCTGCCGATGGGCTTGCAGGGGACAAAGACAAGCAAAAAGCTGACACCCAGGACACTGGCTGACTTGGTCTTCCTTTCAGCTTGGTTGGACCCCACGGTCATTAACCAACATATTCCAGCCAAATAAGAAGAGCTAGGGCTTATGAGGTGGGATGCACAGGATTAGGATCTTTCTTTAACCTATAGAGTCCTACACAGGCAAGCCCTCCCTCCCTCCCTGGTCTCATCATGCACCATGCTACATTCGCTCCTTCTCTTCCCTAGTCATCCCTGTGCTCTCCTACCTCAGGGCCTCTGTGCATGCTATTCCCACTGCCAGAGCATTCCTCCCATTTCCTCAGCCACTAGGTTCAGGCCCTGTCTTTCCTCCCATCCTGTCAGATCACCTCCCTGGAGAAGCCTCTCTAACCTCCCAGACTAGAAGAGGTTTGCTCACCATACACTCTCATAGGACAGTGCTTTTCTTTCATGACACTTGCAATTATTTGTGTGATTACTTGATTAATGACCATCTAGCCCACTATCATAAACTCCTAAGACAGCAGGAACTAGCTGTGTTTTGTTAAACAGCTTTATTGAGGTATAATTTATATACCATAGATTGGCTCCATTATGCACGCACTTGCTTGTAACAGAGCCAAACACATGAATATAAGACGCATTCAACATGAGTGAGACCCTTAGTTCTCTGTGGTTTTCTGGGATTCCATAGTTCCTATGTCTAATGCTTTTCTTAACCCCATTAGTCTCCTCTGAAATCCTATCAGTTAGAGCTAGAACCAAATTAAATGATAAAGAAGCACCCTGGCTTAGAAACAGTAGCCCACATCCTTATGAACAGCTATAAAGGGTATAATTGTGACCCCTGTTTTGCAGATGAAGAGCTGAGACTCCTCAAGATTAACTTAATTATTCATGGCTGGAAAAAGGCACACCCAAGATTCAAAGCAGGTGAACAATAACAGTGCTACTCTTCAGGGGGTTGTTACTCCCTGTGGTGGTTGTCACCGATTCCTCACAACACTTCTGGGAAGTAGACAGACTCAGTTCACTGTACCTTTCGAGAGATGAAGACATTTAAGACACTGTGCCCTGCTGCCACATCAGTACTCCAGTGCCTTGGGTGAAACCAATCCCCTCAAACTTAATGTCTACTCACATGACAAATGGGGCTTTGTCCCACAACAAGTTCTCAGACAGGCCAGAGCTACCATATTGTTTCCTGGGAGAAGGAGTCTCAGCCAGAGCTGGCCATAGCTGAGCTAGCGAATCCCCGCCTCTGTGCCACCAAGAACCCTTTTGTTACATTCCTTGGCGCTCCCTGGAGCCATGCTTTGGAAGGCTGTATCTGCCAAACCAATTGCATTTATTAAGTAATCATTCATTTTTATTTGTCAAGGATGCATATAAGGTCCAATCAGGGCTTCTGATCAGCCCAAGATAAGCAGGGCAGCCAGACTGAGCTGACGGAATTCTAGCCAAAAAGCAGAGAAATGACATTTCATTTAGTCTGGGCAGACCTGTCATGGGGAGATGTATGATCTCCCTTAAGCTTTCTGAAATATTGCTAATCGCTCTGGGCCCCTTATTACTACATTGAAAGATGGCCCCCAGGGATGTGGGGACTCAGGCTGGGGAGCCCTTTCCCATGAGGACTGAACTGCTTCAGTAAGAGAAGCGAGGGGCACTGCCACGGGTGCCTGTACACACAAGCAGAGCCACCAGAGCAGCACACCCCTTCAACACCCCAATCCTCCTGGGGTCTGCTCCCAATGTTTGTTTTACCCAGATGCCAGTAGGATGGACAGATGCAGAAGGCAAAGAAAAAATACAAACTAGCCTACGCCAACAGCTTCATGCTGGAGCCATCACGGTTCTACCACCCTGGGCATGAGTGGCAAGGGGACAATGGGATAAGGCACCTCCTTTTATTGGGAAAAAATGAGTATTATCTCTGTCGAAGTGCTACTGTCATCAGGGGAAAAACACAGCTCATAAAAATATACAACGACCACGTGTCAAAGGTCCCTTAACTCACTAACAAGGAAGCAAGTAAGAAGGTAGAACTGATTCAAAGAGCATTTTGAGGAGGCAGGTACTGAGGGACATTTAAACAGGATCAAGAGACTAAGATTTTAGATGAAATAGAAACTGGTCACTGTCCTGTGATGCATTTAAAATATCAACCTCTGGGGTTATCTTTTCTACTGGACAGATATTATTTGCATCTCTACTGGACAAGATGTACAAGTTGATGTATGACTGCAGTCTGAAGCCTTAATTAATTGTCAATAACAAAGTCAAACAGAAGTATATTTCCCTAAATATTAAAAAGTTGGGGACAGGGGGTGATAGCTGAACAATGGCCCAGAGTGACTTTGAAAGGGCACAGCATACTCTTCTGGTCTTATTTCTAAGGTGTGAAATGATTTTTCTTAACATATTTTAGAGTTGTGCTGGGATCAATCTGTCCACAGAGGGCAGGGAGCGCCCCTACACACCTATACACAGGCACAAAGGGTCCCAGGAGAAAATATAGGGCCCCTGCTGGGCACACAAGCCTCTCTCCCACCCCTTCTATATGAGGTTAGCTACACCTTCCACTAAAGAAGAGACAACTGTGTCCCTAATGCTGCCGCTGCCCCACTAACGAAGACTGTTCAAAGGTAAGAAAAAACACCTTTGCTGAGTGGTCATAGTGAAGTCTGTGCCAAGTACTCAACATGCATGAACTCAGTACTCACAGACATCACCTACAGAAACAGGTAAGGCAGGAAGACCTGGAAGGGGAAAGAAGCTTCATGCCCTGCTCAGCAATTATGAGCCCAGGAGCCAAACCCAGGTGACCTCACTCTAGAGAATAGTCATTCGATTGTCATGTCACGCTGCGTCTCCAGTCCCAGGAAGCTCCTTCTGGAGGCAGGGAGGGGCTGCCCCCAAAATTTCTGAAGGTACCCCTGGGTCAAGCAAGGTGCTCCATTTCAAGAAAAGAATCTCTGCAGGAAATCTGAAACAGATGTCTGTGCTGAAGATGAGGCTCAGTGGCAGAGCACCTGCCTGGTGTGCCCAAGGCCCTGGATTCCATCCCCAGCACCAGTTAAAAAAAAAAAAAAAAAAAGACCTAATGAGGTGGCTAAACCACAATGTTAACTAACACTGTGGTACCATGCCATTTACAAAAAAAGTTACTAAGTCTTTTAATTGTTCCTTGTAAAAAGAATGTGCCACTCACAAGCGATTTCAGTAATTACCCAATGCCTTTATTCTCTAACAGTAGGGAAGGGGGAAAAAAACCAGGACTCTATAAAAAGGCTTGGTAAAGAATTAATTTAGTAAATAATACTTAAGTCAAGGAGTTATTTTTGGATTTTTCTCAAGACTTGAATTGGCTGAAAGTACTTTAATTATTCTATAATTGCATGAATTAATTTATTCCCACCCCCAAGGGAAAGTCTATTTATGTTCCTGAGGGGCGTCATGGAAGCAAGGCCAAGATCTCTGGAAAAAAACAGGAGGTTGGCTAGAATATTAATAATCACACAAGTTGACCCATATTAAGTAGAAGAAAGTTTGCCATTCACACTCTCTTTGCCCATCTCCCAGTTTCTGCCCAGACCTCTGGACACAGACCAGACCACTGCATGCAGCACAGTACTAAGCTCTGCCTACCCTGTCTGCAGGAACCCCCACTAGGGCAGTGCTGGTGAACCTTTTAGAGCTTTCAATGATAATAAACAGCCAGCTGCAGCATGCGTGCCACAGGTTCGCCACCACTGCACTAGGGTACATAAACCACAGAGCACCTGTGGCTCCCCAGCACTGAGACCAAACTTACTGATGGCTGGGCAGTGATCTCGGACAAGTGAATGCTGACACAACATCTCTCACTTCAAGAGTGCTGAGAATCTGCTTGGCCTCCTGTGGTGTTGGGGGAGGCCATCAGGAAGACAGCAGGTGTCAGGCTACTCCCAGGAACCTGCGCAGGTGGCTCTTATGGCACTTCTGGGTACCTGGGAAAGTTTCTCTAGGTTAGGCCTGACCAACCCATCCTCAGAGAGCCACATGGGGTATCACAAGGCCAAGAAAGGCTCTTCAGTTGTCAAATTAAAGATGCTCTGAAGTCACCCTGGACCGAGAGGAGGAGGCAGGAGCAGATCCTCGGAGCAGTGGCTATTGGAAGACA